TAGAAGTCACTTAGATGCATTCCTTGCGGTTTCAAAAGCAAAAACAATGCATTTCACTTGGGCTCTGTTGCAGGTACCCCTTCAATTATTATTGCAGAACTCAACCCCCTGGGGCACTTAAGATCCCCCCTCACATGGGCAATTTGAACCAAACGATCTTCCTGCGTTAAACAGCCTCGAAAGTATCAGGCGTTCAAATCTCCTCTCTCTCCTAACCCCAAAGGAAGGCCTAATGACTCAGGCTAACCTCAGAGGCAAAAGAAAATAAGGATTTTGAAATGAGAGAAGATAATTAGTTGTCTAGAACTTAGTTAACAGCTCTGGAGAGGCTAAGCATCTTTCAAAGCATGGCTGCTGTCATGGTGGTCGTGGTATTGGTGGTGGCGCTATTATACCCTACTAGGGCATGGAAACAGGGGTTCTCCCGGGAGGAAATAAAACCCTGGCCTCTCTGCTGTGTCTGCTTCAATGGCTTAACATTTATAAGGCGCTTATTCTTGTCGCACCCAATAAATGGATTTCGCGTGTTTAATCTACCAGTTTATTTTTCGTCGCTGCTTGAGATCAAAGTCACGCGACCATTGACGTTCCACACGCGATTCTCGAACAATATAATTACAATGCTTGACTGTCCTGATCACACAGAAAAGTCAGGAAAAAAGGTCGGTCAAGTCTAAGTGGGGATCGCTCTTCTAAATGAGCGATCGGTGAACCAAATATAAACGCGGATGGGTTAAGGTGTTTTAATTAACTAAACTTGTGTGTTTCCCTTTTATAGAATTTCGCTTTTCTATTTCAAAAATAAATAGCCCGAAAATGATACTAAGTAAGAAAGCTGTCACTATTCAGAGAAAATGATGTGTGATAATGGCTGAGTTGAAGGTAAACAGGACGTTCTTTTCCCAGATATTGATCAGTCAGAATTGATTTCGGTCACGTCTCGCAAATGGCGTAGCAGAACTCCGTGACTTGTCTAAGAGATAATTTTGGCATTTACATGTTCGATTCAGGCAGGGCCATTTTTCGATAATGGATAAACAAGAGATCTTGACATGCTTGAGAATTGCATGGATGAGCAAACGCAAAACAAAACAATGTTTGGGTCATTTGATAAAGAAAACAAAAGAGAGGAAATGAAACAAAGAAACATCTCAGTTTCGAAATTCTGGAAGTGAGTGGACGTTTACTTAAACCTATGAAAATGAGCTCTACGTGCTTTAAAATTCGTGACTTCAATGCGTGTGGTATGGATATAACAAACGCTGTCAAATACATACACTTGTTCTAAAGTATTTTTAGTCACAATGAATGTTTATTTTCTCCATCCAATGGGCGACCATTCAAGAATCCTCGCATGTAGAGTTGTCGTGTCGCGCGCGCTACAAAGTTGTTGCTACAACCAGGCCAAGATTGAATGAGATGGAAAATAGCTACCATTATAAGTCATTATACAAGGTGACGCTCCACTTCCGAAACCCATTTTGGAAACAACAACAAAGTAGCGCAACGCTGATTGATAAGCTTATTATTATTTGCATATCTATTATTTCCTGTTATTAACACCTGCGAGTCGCCAAAAACCGCTTTGTTACCACTTGTCGCGTTAGTGTGTAAATGAGCAAAGTGTGCGTATGTATACTGTAAAACGAATAACTTCAAGAACAGCAATGAGTCGAAGATTTATTACATGTAATACGGCAAGATGAAGGCGGTCATCAGAGCGACAGCTTTCGCTCTCTTGCTGATTTTCAGCCCAACGATGACGGGCTTGGGGTCGACCTGTTCCACCAAGGGCCTCGAATGCCCTAAGTCGAAAATTTGTTGTGATGGTCACTGTGTTTCTTCACGAAAAGTCTGCAAAGTCCTTTGTCAGGAGCTGGGTGACTGTGACTCGTCACTGAACGAAACATGCTTTTTCATGGATTTGTACTGTAAGTGCTCTTCGTCTTTCTCTTGCAACAATCTTTGTCAAACGGCTCCAGACTGTTCGCGTTCGAACGCCTACTGTAATCAAACGTGCGAAAACCTTTCTACGTTTTCTACAGAAGGCGATAGGCCAGAAGAACTTCCACTAAATCCAGCTCTGCTAGCAATTGTGACGATAATGGGCGTTCTTATATTCTCGTTTCTCTTCTGTTGTTGTCTGAGCAGAATGAAGAGCGAACGAAAGTCAGTACAGGCCCGAGAGGCTAAAGGCAAATTAAAGAGCCTGGGCATTGAACGGCGGACTACAGAAGTCATTGAAAGCGAAAATGCATTGCCTCTGATTAAAGCCGAAAGTCAGAGTGCTGCTTCTGCAAGGAACGGCATTTTAGCCGCTGAAACTTTCAAAAATACAATATCAAGCGAAAAAGAGAAGGAAATGCTGATATCCGTTGTGGTGGAGTCTGGTTTGCCTCCTATTCGCGAGGAAGACGAAGAGGGTGAACAAGAAAAAGAGTAGTCAGAATATAGCCGAGTTCCATGAGGGAGAAGAACAGCTGTATTTATTTGGCCAGTGAAACATAATTACTGCGCCGTCAAAAAAAAGTGAAAACACACTTCATTTGTTGCCTCGACCGATAAACTTCAGTTAACGTCGATGTTGTCGATTAATTGACAAGAAAATATATTTTTTATGAAAGCAACAGTCAAAGAATCGTCGTTTTCGTGCATTGTAAAATGGAGTTTCATAAAAAAAACTCTCGCTGTTGGATAATACGCCAGCTTTTTTGCCTGCGGTCAACACGAATTGATTTGGGCAAACCACGGAAACATAGTTGGCGATCGCCGCGGAGAATAATAAAACCGCGTTTTAATAACTTGTTCGACCACCGAGTACGTACTTTATACCAGTCAATCGTGATGGAAAAAAATTGCGGTTGCATTCGAAGTTGAACGAAATGTCATCTCTGGCACTGACTCGCAACTCGTACTAAAATTTTACATTGGCTCTATGCCTTTTTAAAAGTATGATAAGACTACTTATAGCTTAGCCAGTCTTTGGCGGTCGGCAACAGCACGTTGAAGTCATAATTAATCTTGGCTCGGAAAGAAATTTTACGATAGCATTTTTGCCGGGAGTATAAACAGCCTCGGGCTTAGTCTAAGGTTATCTATTTCTTTATAGCCGTCTGGTGGATCGAAATTATCGCGATGAACAATGAAAAATTATGAATAGAACTAATGGATTTAAGCCAGGTTATATCAAATTTTATTTGAGGAATTTCGTTGCTTGGAGAATCAGCTGTCGACCCAAAATCGAAATTTTGAAACGTGTTGTAATAATCTATTTTAGAGATTTTATATTTACCGGTTGCGTACGACTGTACCTATGTATTTAAAAATTCAGGAGAAAAATAAATAGTGAATATTATTTTGTAAGTTAATGACACGTTTCTGTTTTGCTTAAAATGATATTGAGCTGAAGCTGTTGAGGCCAATATATTCGATTTATTTTCATTTCTACGTCTTTTACTTAACTAACGATCAAATGGTGGTCATGAGAAAAGCTCGATTTAGCTTAAGATTCTCGTCTTAACGTTAACAGCATTGGTTAATCCTAAATTGTATGGTTAATTTAATCTCAGGGAATGATTTTTTCCGAAATATTAATTCTTGTTGTTACTATTCAATTGACAATAATAATATTTTTAGCCGATCCCTCAGAAAATGCCATATATGGAAAAAGTATTACTTTGCGCGTTCAGCTGCTTCTTCACCCTGCGTCTTGCTCCCGTGAAACTACAATGTAGATGCAGTTTGCGAAAATTTGGGACACTCGTGCCTTACGAACACGCGTAAATTAACACTGTGGAAATCTTATTAGTTTCAGGCTTTCGAAGTGTTTTTTCTTGAGAGGTGATCGTTTCAATGGCTAGAAGTTTGGACCACATACTTCCCAATGCGGCCACTTATCAAAATACCAAATTTAATTCTTCTGGTCAAGCACTCAAGATGTAGTCTGCATCACAGACAGTCTAAACAGTCGGAGGTCAGTAGCAAGACTGTATCTTGTAGGTTTTGAGTGAAACTTCCGGCTGCACCACAGACTATATAAGGGATCACAGCTAAGCTCGAAATATGAGCGTCCGCGTTGTTGCGTAAACGTCGATCGAAATACAAGCATTCCGGCGCAGGCCGAAGAGACGATGTTATCCAGGATTTAATTTTTCTTGAAGAGAGCTTCGATAGCGTGCTGTCGATAATGAGCGCTTTTGCAAACAAACGAACTGGTACCTCATCCAAAAACATATATGATTTCCCTTTGCTATTTTCACTGTGGAGGTAGGCAGACCAGCCCTAAAATAAGACACACGCTCACTGACCAACCCACAGCTGGCCAATACCTAACGCATGCGCACAGCTATATCACCGGGCAGTGGCAGCTGTGGAAAGAGCCACTGCCCACTGCCTGGGTTATATGGTTGGGCGGATACGTTAGGTTTCTGGTCAGGCCGTGGGTTTAAGCCGTGAGAAGTAAAAACGGACGTCGTCATCGTTGCGAGTGACCCCTTCGATCGCGTTTAGTTTGCCTAAAATCACGGATATTCAGTGTCAGGTACTTAACAGCTAAAACTCGACCGAAACATGTCCCCATCTCTGCAGTATCGTCTTGTCACATTTCTGAACCGACTGAGAATCCGGTTCCCAATCAATGGAAACACATTCTCAAGAGGTGAATAAAAGTTAGCCTAGCGTCTCCGACAATGGCCCTATTTCAAGCACAACCAGTTGAAATCCATACCCAGCTGACTCAAAAGCCGTACCCTCTGCCTCAGCCTCCGCCTCGAATAAGGAGAGCTCCCTTGAACAGCGGCCGCTACTGCCAGGGAAGGGGGGGGGCTACTTGTGTAAATTTTTGCTGGGCTTGTGCCGCTGGCCTCTCAGAACCCTACCCTATTATATTCTATTCTGTGGCCAATTGTAGACCCCATCTTGGTCACTTTTGGGCAAATGTGTAACTTTCGCGATCCCAACTTAGTCTCTTACTATTTTTATGAATTGACCCATTTTTTAGATTGAATGAAAAACACTTTACTTTTCCTCTGCAGTACAAACATTCTGGTACGTTCGCTAACCGTAAATTAATATGAAGAACCCCCCAAAAATCCGAAAATGTGCGACGATATGTCCATATCCTAGTAACTCTATTGAAAATGCGACCCATTGTAGTCAATCAGTCGTGAAAATGCGACCCCATCCAGCGGCACATCCCCATTGGCCTCTTATAAGGAAGTACCCCCCACCCCAACCAGGCGCTACTGCTGATAGCCCACGTGCAGACGACTCCTTAATTAAGTATTTGCTGCTTATTTCGGGCAATTCCTTGCACGTGCGGCAACCAAATAAAAGACGTCTGCACGCTTGCCAAGGGCCGCTCCGTCCCTTATGGTTGAGGAGAAGACTGAGGAGAGTGGGTCCGTATAAACTAAAAAAGAAAGCCAGCGGAACTTCAGAGAGGAATGTAGTTGATGGTTTACACGGCATGTATTGCAGAGTCATTTTCTATGTTTTGCCACTTTTAGGTGTTCTTCAGAATATTTTCAAGGTGAAACTGTCTACGTATGCGTGCAACGATGACATAGAATGCAAAGGTAACTCTCTGAACGCTTCGTCTATAAGTATTTGTTGTTCAGGCTTGTGCCAGCTATGGTGGAAATGCCGCGGCGGTTGTATTTCAGACGATTCTTGCAGCGGCGGTAAAATCTGCTCTCAAAATCGGTGCCAAGAGGACGAACTCTTTTTTTCAGCTGACTGCAAAGATGATTTCGATTGTTCCAAGAACGAGGAGTGTGAATCTGGCCAATGTAAGCCTGCTCCAATACCTGTACCAACGGACGCTTCCTCCCATCTTTCGGTTCGCTTTCACTTCGATATCAATGTTGTTGTTATAATCTCAGCCGTTGTGGGCGGTTTGATCTTTCTCGCTGTCGTCGGCTACGGATCCTATCGCTTCTTAAAACGGTACAGAAGACGACGATTTTCACGTGGATTGTATTCTCAGCCCTCGCGAAACTCTTTTGAATCTTACTCTCTGTGCAGGCAAGATTCTACACCAAGGGTTATTTTTCCCGTAAGAACTTTAAGACCACCCCCTGAATATGATTCCGTCACACTGGACAGCAACTTGGAAGTGGAACCACCACCACCATATGATCAACATCATGTGACTTCTTCCTCAAGGTCGTCTGAAGAGCAGGTTTGAGATTTTTTCTCTTTATGTTTTGTTTTAATATCTGTGGTGTCAAAGAGGAGTAAAACGTGTGTCTGGCTACATGTATATTCATTTGCTGGTACACATGACTGTTTAATAATAATTGTACTCAAACATATTTCCCCATTTGAGTTCTCTCTACCCAAGTTCATGCACCAGTTTTTGTTCCTTTTTGTTCCTTCTTCATGTACTAGATGGGGCACTGTCTATCACATTGTCTGGTTCGTTTGTTTCATTGTAGGTACTTAATTAAGCCGGACATCATTAGGACTGGCCTCAAATGTCTGTGTTAAAAAAGGTGTCTGTCTCATGAAAGTCAAAAAAAGTTCACCATCCTAGCTCAACCTAACACCATTCGTTTCACAGTGTTCTCAATATCCACTTCAATGTTACTCTTTTATAACTGACAACTGTCGTGTCAACTTGGGGGACTCAACACAAGAGTTTTTTTCTTCCCACCTCTGAACACTTAAAACACGAAAGGACATTAAGACAGAAGCAGAAAAAGCAGTGTTCCTAGATAAAGTTTCTTAATATCTACCCATGCAGCACTACGTTGTGGGATTAAGCAGCACACACAAGGTGACTTATGGTTGTCGCCCCCTTGTCGCCATGCTTACAACTGTTTAGGTCATTTTATGCATGTTGTCAAACTACATGTATTGTTCTCAGCGAGTTAGCCTCTATGGGACGAAATGGTGAAGAGCAATAATAATTATAATAATGGCATTAATTCAGGGTAGTGTGTATGTATTTTCAATGAATTGCTTTTAAAAAACCCTGTTTTTTATAATGGCAAAATAATAATTGGAGAAATAAAATGTAAGGTAATTTGACAGTATCAACAAATAAGGTTCAAAGATCATGAATTTTGTGATAAAAATGAAGTATAACCTTCTTTCATTAGCCTTCATTGTTGATTCTGTAAGCTGTAAAATAATAGATTACAAAGCAGAATCGCCAACCACCGGCAACTTCCCTTTAAGGAAGCATTGTTGAAATAATATTTTGTTTTCTTTTTTCTCACATTTGGGATATGAAATTTATGTTTCAATGTTTTTGACGAAAAGTTGGGGTGTGTTTACCAAGTCAGGACTAGAGCAATGTTATAAATCTTTGTCTGCCCCTCATTGGTGAATAATATTTCTATTTTGTATTATTCCTTTATTGTATTTGTACACACTGTTGTACACACTGTTGTTAATTTTTCTCTAAGCTTTTGCTCTCATTCACTCAATATCATTTATTGCTGTTGGTCCCAAGCTGATAAATAAGTTTAGAAAAAAATATTTGCAGCTGCAAACATATTTTTTTTATTTTCTGAGTTGCACTGCATATTTTTATAGTGAACTGCAGTCTACATACATTATGTAGGTTCTGATAACAAAAAAGGCTTAAGTGGACTGTAATAGTAATTGACTACAAAGCATACATTAAGTTTGACACATAAAAAAGCAAGACCAGTGCATCAACATTGATCAAGGCTGTTCCATAGTTAATCACTTTCATGAAACGAGGTGACACTAAAGACCTACAAAATTGCTAGGTAATTTGTTTTCAAAATTAATGTCTTTGAAAATTGTTTTGATCAGGACAAATGCAGCCCAAAGGTTATTAATAGTTAATTTTTGTCTGTGCAGCCTAAGGTATATGTAAGAAGTATTGTTGTTTTGTACTTCTTACAAGTTCTTGATTTTTAGTGCAGTACAGCAAAGTGGCTTGTAGTTACATCTGTATTTCATGACTGTAGGCTATTTTACCAGTTCTCTGTGAAATAATTACGTACATGTACAGCTGTATTTTGTATTTACCCTACAAAGAACAGAAGACTGTATGAGTTAATTAAGGTGGTGCCGTGTACTCTCTGCTGGTGGTATATTATTTACCAGGTCACTCTCAGAGGTGATTCATCAACAGAGATGTGTACTGTAGTTCAGTGTTATCTTCTGTGGACAAAATCCAAAGCTGTTATGGTTCAAATTTCTCTTCAATATTGCCTTCAGTTTTAATTTACTGGGTATTTATTTTGCAAAACAATGTTTGTGAGGTTTTTAATATTTTGCATTTGGAGGTTATGATTATTGAAATAGTTTTATCCATGCGATTCTTCTCTAAGCAAAACAACAGTTCAGTTTTTGTGTTGGGGTTGGCAGGGAAGAAAAGTGTTTCTTCCTTTTTTACCCCAATACAGCTTTGTGAGTGGACACCCTTGCGACGCGAAATCCGTGAAATCAATGTAGAAATACAGACTTTGTATGGAAGTTAAGAAAAACAGGGTTTTGTGAAGGCGGCCATAAGTAGAGCTGTGTGCTTACAAATGTATGAGAGTGTCCATTAGGAGAGTTTCCACTATATCAACACACATAATTATTCTTTTTCCTATTTTCCTAGTACAAATGATAGGGAAAATTGTTAATTGTCAGAGTTAATAACGAAAGATCATACATAAAATTAATTTTATTTTCTTGTTTTAAATGCAATTTCTTTGTTGATTGCTATTTGGGCTGTAGAAGTTACAAGAAACAACAGTGAAATAATTCTAAAATTTAAAACTTTTGTCTAGTTCAACATAATTATTGGAAATTCTAGTGTGGAAATGATAGCTTCACTTAAAATGATCATCTGGAAGTGTTCTCATTTACAGGCACTTTGGTAAGATTCAAATGCTTAACACCGGAATAAATTATTGGTTTGCTAGAAGGGGGTGATGACCAACCTTCAGATTTCCAGGCAGTCAAACTGAGAAACTGTGAACACTTAAAATATTCGAGGAATATTTTTTGTGTTATGACCAATCAGAGCAGCATGTGAGCTAGCCGTGAAAACACAAAATTCAGGTTGTTGCTTGTGCTTTACTGTCCTCCCACCTGATTAGCTTTTTTCTTGCAACTCAATAACACTCCAGAAATATTTTTGGTTTTCATGTTTTACCATTTTGACTGTAAATGTACATGTATGTGTAGAAATCAGCTCTTTCCTTGAAGATTGCTGCCGACCCATAACCCATTTAAAGAACACTGCCAAGGAACTGTTCCAGAGAAACTTAAACAATATGTGTAAGGTGGCAAAGATATACACTATTGTTCACTTAACTTTGATGCCCAGTGTTCGGTGTTGTTTAAAATGCTACCGGTGGTGTTGGTTAGCGGATTTTGTTCTTTTTTTATTTGTTTGGTTAAGTTCGAAGAATGTCCTTAATGTAATGTCTTCTTTGTTTAGGTGTAGCCCACACCTCTTTGTTGTCAGAGCAAAGCTGTTAGAAGATTTGCAGGGGGTCAACTGCAAGAACCAAGCCTCTTTACGACTCAGTCTGTGGGTGATTGACCATTTTAAAGTATCTTAACAAATACAATACGTCTTTTCTTCTAACTTGAAAACAGTAATCTTTTCTGAGGCCTTCACTTGCTCAAAGCGGAATAATAATTGCATAAACATTTTCAAAACTTCAAGTCTTTAGTTTGGGCATCTTCAGATTTTTCATTTCCACTTTTTGTTTTCAGAAATCCTTTTCAATGCTTTTGCTTGTTCACTCCAAATACAGTGTTTGACATGTACATTATTTTTTTAAAAAAATGTGTTCCATGTTTGCCAAAACAAACAATTTTCAATTTTCAACCCTTTTGTCTGTATTCTGATGGATCATAGGCAACTGCTAGTCATATACATAGTGCATGTCACATTGAGAACATTGTTTAAACTTTCTTAGACAATAGGTCTTGACCAATGAGCACATTAAAAATCCATCAGTATAAAAAGAAGTTTGTTCCACATAAAATATCTGACCAGAACAGAGAGCCATGTTATGAAGACTGTGTTTCCTATATTTAGTCCTTTTGGGCTTATTTATTTACACTGACTTTTTCTGGACTAGGGTTTAAAAGCGGCTGGAGGCATGGCTCAATATATTTTCTTGTTTAATTATTGTAACATAACTAAAATATTTCTTTATGATAGTGTAATTTTTTAATACATTTATAGCTGAAGAGAGTGATTTCAAAGTCCAGAATTTCAAAAACAAATGTGTGTAAAACAAAGCAGTTTGTGGGGAAAGAAAGCTGGAACTGGATGTCACTTCTGCATGAAGTATTTGTCATCCCTATTAAAATCTTTTTTTGGGGTGGAGGGGCTGGGGGTTTGAGGCCAAGCAGATAAAATACAGTATGTAATACATGCTTTCCATTGGATTACAGTTCTTTTGAAAGTGTCCTGAGTTTAACAGAGTTAGAGATTGAGACATTGCTTTTAGTGAGTCTCGGGTGTTAAATTTTTGAAATTAAAAAAGTATAAAAAAAAATTGGAAAAATTTCATGCTACACGTTGTTCCACTAACGCCTTTTAAAAAATGATTTAGTAATGGCCTGCTGGTCAATATTGGTCAGGTTGACTTTTCCCATATTTTGGCTTTTTTGTTTTTTAACTATAAGGTGACTGAAAATCGGTTGGTTTGTTCAAATACCGTAAATCCTCTTTTAAGCCCTTCCCTCTTAAATAAGCCCCCTCCCTCTAATTAGCCCGCCCCCCCTTTTCAGGGGAAGAAAGTTGATAAGCCCCCTGTCTCTATTAAGCCCCCTCCCCTCCCTTAATTATCCTTAACTAATAAATGATAGACTGTATTTATCAGTCCACGGTTTAACTTCGTGTGGACTGATTCAGGATGGTATATTTACCAACTGGAAGTGGGGATTTGACTCTGATCCTCGGGTGCATGACCTGCAACCCTCTTGTACTTGAGCTTTTCGACTTCGTATTCTTGGTCTTTTTGGAGAACTCGTATCATTGTCTTTTCTAAATTAAATAAGTCCCCCATCTCTATTAAGCTCCCCTCAAATGGGCTTGATATAAATAAGCTCCCCGGGGGGCTCAATAGGGGATTTACAGTAACAAAATGTTTCAATTTTTTTATTTCACTTTACACAGTGCTCAACTGTGGGGTAGTGAGCACAGGTGGTCCAAGCCTGATATGATAGTTTGTATGGTAAATAAAGAGTTTG